GAGAGACCTGAGTAAAATTTTTTATAATTTTTTTTAAAAATATGATTTCTTTATTTGAAAGGAAGAGTGTTGGGGGTTGGGGGGAAGAGACCTAGATTGTATGTCTGCTAGTTCATTCCCCAAATGACTACAATGCCCAGGACTGGGCCAGGCTGAAACCAGAAGCCTGAAACTCCATTGGGATCTCCCCTATGGCTGCAGGGCCCAAGCAGTTGGGCTGCCCTCAGCTGATTTCCCAGGCACATGAGCAGGGAGCTGGATCAGAAGTAGGGAACTGGGGCTTGAACCAGGACTCACGTGGGATGCTGATCTCGCAGGCAGCAGCTTAGCGTACTGTGCCACAACGCTGGCACTGTGAGTGAATTCTACAGAAAGTGGCAGAGTGTGGGTAGAGGTGGTTATGAAGGGAATCGTGTGATCCAGGTGTATGTCCTTTGGGGTAGAGACCTGACAGAGGCATGTTTGGGGTTATAGGTTGAGCTGATGAGTCTTTGTCTTAGGAGGTGAAATGCTTATGCAATGGTTATGAAATGGTTCTGATGGAGCTTGGTGGGCAGGAGGAAGTTGGGATTAGTGTCAGGTGGTGGTGGGTTCTTGAGCCTGCCCTGGCCTGCCGCTCAGCTGCTGAGTTACCAGAGGCACACTGTTCAATCCCTGTTGCTGCCTTTGCTCACCTGTGATGAGGCAAACATCTCTGCCTGCCAGCAGCGTCACCTGAAGATGTGCAAGTTCACCCTTGCTCAACACATGCACTGTGCTTGCCCATGTCATTAGCAGGTGACAGTTGCTGCTGGTCTGCTGTGATTGGTCAGGACTGGAGTCCACCATTCAAGACAGCTATCCTGTGCTGAAAGCCCAGGGCGTCTGTCCTGTGGTCTCTTTCAGGTCTGTGTTAGGACTGGCCCATGTTATAAGGGATGGAGTGCAGAGCAGGCGTGGTCATGCTGCGGTGGGGAGGCAGCCAGCCGGCAGCAGGAATTCCTTGGGTAGGAGGCCATAGCAGATGAGCCTCTGTCGTTCTTGATTTCACTTTGTCTCTGGCAGTTGGGTTCGGAGAGGAGCCTGCTTGTGGCATAGCGCTAAAACAGCAGGAGGAGGTTTGGAATGAGGGGGTCTGGTTGCATGGTTGGCCTCCAGCATTCAGCTGTGTGGCCCTGCATCAGTCATAGCTTCTCCCCTGAGAAGTTAGGGAATGTGTCGGAGATGAACTTGCCCTCAGTCTTATCTCAAAAGACAACTTGTAAACGAAAGGACTTTTTAAAAGGTTAAGCTCTGTAATTTGTTTAAATTTATATTTTTTTGGAAAAGAGAGGATTTGTAAAGAATGTGAACTTAATCTGTTTATGCGTGATTCCATCTGAGGCCCTTCTGATGAGGCTGTAATTTTCCAAGGCTGCTTTTGGCCTTCTATCGGTTTGGTTTAAAATAAATAAATAAATAAAAAAGAAATCAGGCGGGAAGATAGGCTGGGCCTCAGTGACTCAGCTAGAGGCTCTTAAGACTGGTTCTGGCTTGTCCACATTCTGTTGGGATGTACTTAGCGGAAAGGCCACACCCACAATACAGTTTGAATGAGATGTTGGGGATTTCAGATTTCTCAGCAAGGGAGCATGAGAAAGTAAAATGAAACTTCCATTTTGTCTTCTTGCTTCCCTCCCTGCTGCACCTGCCAGCCCCATTATTTGAGTTTTGTTGAGTAGTCTTGTGCCAAGGTAGCAGTGTTGAGAAAAATGTCTGAATTTTAAAATAAAAATATTTCTGAGTTTGTGAAGTAGTCATTGCAAAGGATAAAATGGACATTTAACAACTGTAGATGTGTTAGATTGAACTGTTCACTGGACATTTACTGAGCACCTGCAAGGTGTCTGTCCCTGTGTGAGGTGCTGGGCACCCCCGTGGCCACAGGGGTGGACAAAACCCTGCCCTCACATCTTGGATTTTATAGGCCTTTAGATGCTAAGTGGAGAAACCCACAAGCTTATGACAAGTCTCATGAAAAACAGAACATGTTAGAAAGATGGGAGGGACATTGCTTACATTGGAGTCCAGGGAACTCCTCTCTGTCCAGCTCATTTGAGACTTGAAAGGTGAGACATAGTGAATCCGGCAGAGGCAGAAGCAGATGCCAAGGTCCTCAGGCAAAGAAAAAGCTTGGGGAGGTCCCTGTAGCTGGAACTTAGGTGGTGTGATGAGGGAGGAGAGAGGCACTGACTTTAGGGCTCTTGGAGAGAGCTTGGGTTGTATCTGCCTGATTTGGTCATGATCCGTGATTTGGTCATGATTTGTGAATTTAATCAGGCATTTTCCTCCTTGGTCCAGGCTGCTCACTTTGGCGATAGAATTTGAAACAGAACAATGCACTGTCCCTTAGAAGATATGGAACTCGTATATGAAGCCACACTGGATCAACCTTAGTAGGAAGACATGTCCGAAAAGAGAGGAATCTGTTTTTTTTCTGTGTGGACTGAGTGACTCAGGCTGAACTCCCCAATGGTGACTAAAACCAGAGTGGCCTGTGCTGGCCTTTCTGCAATGTCCCATCCCAGTGGCTGGCTGCAGAGGTCTGAAGCTTGGCTCATGGGCTTTCATTTTCTGCAAAACCAGATCTCTGCTAAACAGATGATGGGAAAGCCAGAAAGGAAGGTTAGGAGGTCAAGATCTCTGTCCTGGTTTCCATATCCTGCCACATTCCAGCTGAATTTTGCCTGATAAAGTCATAGCATGTCCAGGCCGGAAAGGACCTCAAGGATCTCGGGGAGGACCTAGAAGGCCCCACGCCCTAGAAGGGTTAGCATTTTTAGTTTGATGAGGGCTGACTCGAATATGTAATTGTGAAAATTGCATCCAATGTGGAGGCCCAGTGTCTCCAACTTGCGTTCTGGGTTGGTACCTTGAAGGACCTGGCCCCTGTGACTCAGTGTACAGAGATGCCCAAATGTTCACAAGACCTTCCTTATTAGCTCCTAGGAATTAAGGCCCTTCTCCAAGAGGAGGCAGATCCCTGTGCATACCAGGAGCCTGGTGGTGGTATGCCATCTTTCTGGGATGGTAACATTCCCATCCAGGAAGGTCTTTAGGTGTCAGGGAAGTCTGGGCTGGCTCAGGGTAGGGATAATGATATTTGTTATGTTTTGTTTTAGGAAATATCTCATGGGAGAAAGTGTTGCTTTTCATTCAGTTTGCACTTTGTTCATTGTAATAGCATCTGTATTCTCTTGAAGACTGCAGATGTACATCTGGTTAGGAGATCTGATATTGATTTGGTCCACATGTGGTACTCAATAGGCAGTAATTCGCTGGCTTCCCCTGAGCATTGGGTATGTGAGTTTGAAGCTACTGGTCTAGAAGTTTCTAGAAAACCAGTCAACTAGTCAATTTCTTGGGGGGGGGGGACAAGGAGGGAGTGAATCAGTGCAAACCCACTTGTCATTTATTTAAATATTATTTTTGCTTTTATTAAACACTGAAGTAATTCAAGCTCATTGTAAATAAGACACAGAAATGTGTGATTGCTGTGTTCTTTAGATTTATTTATTTGAAAGAGAAAGCTAGATAAGGCTCTTTCACCCGATGGTTTAGCCCCCAGATAGCTTCAATGTTCAGGGCTGAGCCGGACCAAGACCAGAAGCTAAGAGCTTTGTCCTGGTGGGTGGCAGGGCCCACACATGTGGACCATCTTCTGTTGCTTTTCCCAGGCATATTAACAAGGAGCTGGATGGGAGGTGGAGCAACCAGGACATGATCTAGTGCCCATATGGGGTGCTGATGTTGCATCTATTAGTTTTACTTGCTAAGCCACGAAGTCTGCTCCTCTAATTCTCTTTGATAAGTGCGCATGTGTGCACACACACATTTTTAAAATGATTTTTTTTTTTTTTTGCAAAGTCAGATATACAGAGAGGAGAGACAGAGGAAGATCTTCTGTCCAATGGTTCACTCCTCAAGCAGCCTCAATGGCTGAATCTGAGCCAATTCAAAACCAGAGCCAGGAACTTCTTCCAGGTCTCCCACAGAGGTGCGGCGTCCCAAGGCTTTGGGCTGTCCTTGACTGCATTCCCAGGCCACAAGCAGGGAGCAGGATGGGAAGTGGAGCCGCCGGGATTAGAACCGGCACCCATATGGGATCCCAGTGCATTCAAGGCGAGGACTTTAGCCGCTAGGCCACACTGCTGGGCCCCCGACACATATTTTTTACTGAACGAAGATGTTCTGCCCATAATGTTTTCTAAATGTGGGTGTATATATTTTTTAAAGATTTATTTTTATTATTTTTTTATTGGAAAGGCAGATATACAGAGAGGAGAGACAGAGAGGAAGGTCTTCCGTCTGATGATTCACTCTCCAAGTGAGCGCAACGGCCGATGCTATGCCGATCCAAAGCCAGGAGCCTCTTCTGGGTCTCCCACACGGGTGCAGGGTCCCTTTGGCCGTCCTCGACTGCTTTCCCGGGCCACAGGCAGGGAGCTGGAAGGGAAGCGGGGCTGCCGGGATTAGAACCGGCGCCCATATGGGATCCTGGGCGTGCAAGGCGAGGACCTTAACCACTTGCGCCACTGCGCCGGGCCCATGGGTGTATATTTTAACCAATATAATTGGTGACTTATTTAAAGGAAGCCATGAGGTTTGGTGGGAGGAGGATTGGATCTGGTTCATTTGGGTCTATAATACACTAGTTGGATGACTAGTTATATGGTGATATGCTCGTTGGGTGTTCCTGGGTGGCTCACAGATCTTTTCTATCTCAGATTCCTGGTCTCTAACATGGAGACTGTGTGTGTCTTCCTTTCACATAAGCTGGTTTTAAGGATTGAGTGAGATCCTGAGAAAAGAACTCATTGTAGACATCATACAAGTATGAAGCAACTGGTGTTTAAACTTACATTTTCAGCCCTCTTTTCTTTAAGCTTGGCCTGTGTCAGTGGATACTTAAACCTTGTGGTAACTTATACAGTGGTTTCCTTGGAGACAAATAGTAACTGACCTCCTCCCTCGTTTGCCAGGTCACTCCCGGAAGCAAGGCTGCTGTTGCTAATTTATGTGTCGGAGATATCATCACAGCCATCGATGGGGAAAACACCAGCAGTATGACGCATTTGGAAGCGCAGAACAAAATCAAGGGCTGCACGGACAACATGACTCTCACCATATCAAGGTGAGGCCGATAAATGCCTACTTCTCATCTGGTGCCAGCTGCCTGTGGGCAGGGCTTGCCTTTCGGATGGCAGGTTCCCCTACACCCCTCAGTTCAGCGTCGTGTAAGCACTGTTGGTGCCTCTGGTCTCCGTAGTGTTTCTTCCAGTGTGGGCTTCCTGCTCTGAGAGGTCTGCCTTCTCTCTTGGGTCTACACAATTGACGAAAATGCCACACCCCAGTAAAACCGGTTTAGGGGTGATGACCTGTAGTCATCAGTCACCAATGACATTGGCTAACTGTCGTCCGTCAGTTTGAGATGCTGCTCCTGGTGCACCCTCTGTGGTAGGAGCTGCAGTGACCAAGTGCTGCTTGAAGCAGGTGCCAAACCTGAGGAGCTGAGACGGATTAGGCTTCCCAGGCTGAGGCACACTGGGCAGCCTGGGGGTTGTAATGAGGATTGAGTTTCCATTCTTCTTTTGTTCAGTCATGGGAGGGGTCCTGCAAGGACCGGATTTCTGGAGCGATTTGGTTCAACCTTCGGTTGCTCCCTATTTCCTATTGGATTCAGTTCAGACTCTGATCTCCTGTCCTGTAACCTTAGCGTCCACAGCTCTTTGTCATGAACCCTTTCTTAGATTCTCATCTGTGAAGTACATTTGTTGGTATCTTCTACCTTGTGTCAGAAGACCCAAGTGTGGCTTAGGGCCCTCCCCCACCGGAGGTGCACCATTCAGTTAGCACCTCCCCCAAAACACACACACATTCTCATTTCCTTTTCTTAATTCAGATCCTCTGCTTGAAGTTTTAGCTCAGCACATGCAATCATTGACTTTTCAAATTTGTTTAAATTTCTAAAAATGTATTTATTTTGGGTCTGGTGCTGTAGCTAAAGTCCTTGCCTTGCATGTGCTGGGATCCCATATGGACACTGGTTCATATCCTGGTTGTTCCACTTTCCTTCTAACTCCCTGCTTGTGGCCTGGGAAAGCAGACAAGGATGGCCCAAAGCCTTGGGACCCTGCACCCATGTGGGAGACCCGGAAGAAGCTCCTGGCTTTGGTTCGGCTCAGCTGCAGCCATTGTGGCCACTTGGCAAGTGAACCAGCAGATGGAAGATCTTCGTCTAGGTCTTTCCTCCTCTCTGTATATCTGATTTTCCAACAAAAATAAATAAATCTTTAATCTCATATTTATTATTTTTTTATTTGAAAGTCAAGAGACACACAGGAATTTTCCATCTGCTGGTTGACTCTCCATCTGCTTGCAACAGCTGCGGCTGGGCCAGGCTGAAGTCAGGAGGCAGGAACTCAGTCTGGGTTTTGTCTGTGTGGTGAGGATCTACCTGAGCCATTATCTGCTGCCTCCAAGGTGCTGCAAGTGGCTGGGATGAAGCAGAGGTGGAACTCAGTCCCAGATTCTCTGATGTGGTTTGTAGGCATCTCCGGGGCAGCTTAACTCATTGTACCGACAACACCTGCCCCTGTATTTTTTTTGTTTGTTTCATTTACTCATTTTTGACATTTTCAATGCATACATCTTACCCTGTGCCAGGCACTCTGACAGACACAACAGTTAATATTGATATTCTGTCTACAAAAGTGGAAAAGACTGTGTGCTAATGAAAATTGAGAATAGACTGAAATCATTGCTGTGTGACCAGTATAAGTCAAAAGCTTTTGAAAGTTTAAAAAGTAGTAGTTTTGTTTATTTGCAATTTTCCTGAAGGCAGCAAGGAAAGAGAGGGCTGCTTCATTCTCTGGCTTATTCTCTGACTGCCCTCAGCCGGCAGGAGTGGGCCAGGCTGAAGCCAGGAGTCTGGAGCTTGCCTTGAGTGTTCCACGTGGGCGGCAGAGACGTGAGCTATCCTCTGTTGAGGAGGCATCACTTTACTTTGGGCCAAATATCAGAGAAGTTGGTAGTTTGGTCACAGACCAGGAGCACAGGGCCAGGATAGAGGCAGAGCCCACCATTCCGTCCTGAGCAGAGCTCAGGCAGCGCCAAACAGGGAGGGCAAAGGTGGAAGAAAGCCAGACAGCCAGGGAAACCCCTGGTGTGTGTGTGTATCAGGCACCATTAGACCTGCACGCCATTGGAGTGGGGACATGTGGAAGGTTCCACTGTGGCAAATGGAGGGAAAGGCTGATGGCAGGGTGCTAAATTAAGGCTGGTAGTTCTGGTAGGCAGGTATTTTTTTGAATCAGTTTTTAGTCTATGTAGCATACGTGAAATAGTAGCTCTTGTCATCTGTTTGCAGATCGGAGCAGAAAATCTGGTCACCCCTGGTGACGGAGGAGGGGAAGCGCCATCCATACAAGATGAACTTGGCCTCGGAACCCCAGGTGAGTGAGTGCTGACTTGTCACTGTCACTCCTCTCGCCATTGCCCCTTGCCTGGCTCTGCCTCTGCCCAGCACATCCCTCCCTGTTCTTTCCTGCCCTGGAGGTTGGGGGGTCAGCGAGCGGAGAAAGCCCTCCACTGTCACTGCTGGGAGCTGGCTCTTGTTCACTTTTTACTGTAAGGGAACTGGGGGAGGAAAGGGCTGGAAAACCCCAGGGAAGGGACGCCCAGCCTGGGCTAGAAGGAGGGGTGGGGGTGGGTGATAAGGAAGTAGTGGAAGCATTCTATGCAAAGAGTAGGGTTGGAAGGACCATGGAAAAATCAAGGCGCCAGCTCAGCTCATTGTGGGCGTCATAGACAATTGTCCCATAAGCTGACTTCCTGAGGTCTAGAGAGGACTGGGGAATTTCATGGAAAACCCTGCTTCGCTTCTCTGTAGCCCCCTGTGTGGTCTCTGTGTCCTGGGATGAAAATGCACCCCCCTCCTTTTTTTTTTGTTACAGAAAAACTTATAGTGAGACTAAGATTACTAGGACAAAGTGGCATGTAATGAAAATGTGACAGGGTGCCATGGTGCAGTTCAGTGGCCCAACAGTTTCCCAGAAGAGTGGACTATCCTGGGATCTTATAATTGTGACCATGTCTCTCAGTGGTTAGATTGAAGGCAATTTTGCTTATTCCTTCTTTGCATCTTCTCAGCTATCAGGAAAGGGTAGTTTTTTTTTTTTGAAATAAGGGAACCAGGGCCTGGCACAGTAGTCTAGTGGCTCAGGTCCTTGCCTTGCATGCACTGGGATCCCAAAGGGGCGCCAGTTCTAATCCCAGCAGCTCTGCTTCCCATGCAGCTCCCTGCTTGTGGCCTGGGAAAGCAGCGGAGCACGGCCCAAAGCCTTGGGACCCTTTACCTGCGTGGGAGGCCTAGAGGAGGCTCTGGGCTCCTGGCTTTGGATCGGCTCAGCTCCAGCTGTTGTGCTTACTTGGAGTGAACCATTGGACAGAAGATCTTCCTCTCTGTCTCTCCTCCTCTCTGTATATCTGACTTTGCAATGAAAATAAATAAATCTTAAAATAAGGGAAATAAAAATGTTTAGAGCATCTTTGTAATCCCTTCTATATAACATGTTACTTGTCACAGAGAAAATGGCTGTTGGATAAATTAGTGTGTACAAATTGAGTGATTGGATTAAATCTAATTTCTGTAATAGCTTCCATTAAAATGTTGGTAATGTAGCCAAGTAAGATTTTTTCATTAATATAATAATACAAAGAATCACAGTAAATACCATTTTTCATTTCCCCCTTCCAAAACTGACATAAACATGCAATTTTCTACAGTCCCTGCAAGGAAAGTTCATAAAATGACAGTCTGTGAAGTGGTAGTTGCGCAAAGTAATTTAAAACAGATCACAGTTCATTTCAATTTTCCTGGTACTTCTCAGCCAGTTCATTAAATTAGCTGTGATGTGTCAGTGTACCAAGTTTCCATGTACCTTATGCACAATGGGTGATCTTGTTTTCCTTTTGTCTATCAGTCTTATTTTCACTTAATGCAATCATTTATGTTTGAGTTAGGCTGATTTCTGTCCTTTGAATTTTCATCTAAAATATATAATCCGGTTACTTGTACTGATATTTTAATTCTCCTTCGATTAGATGTGAGTACATATTTTTCTTGATTCCAGTAATTCTTTGTTCATACTAAAAACTTGCCATTCCTCCTTTTCCCAAGATCTTCCATGTCTAGTTGTTCCACGACAGGGGCAACCAAGCAAGAACAGAGTTCATCTGTTATAAAGAGATCTGTTAGTTCATGTCGTGCTAGCCAACACCCCGGCTTATCTGAGGTCAGCATAGTTACACACCTAGTTTGTATTTCCTCATTATTGGGTTTCCTTGGAGACTGATACATACAAAGCCCAAACAATTACATCATCGCTCCCAAATGGCAAACCCTGAATCCGCTCGCCTCCTGGAATGACCAGTATTCACGTGGGGGTAGAGTTATTCCTTTTATGTACAAACCAGATGCGTTTCTGAAAGTTTCTCTGTCAAGTGAAAAATCAGGATTTCTAATCTGAATTTCCTGTGGATTCCCATTCTAAGTGGAAATGCGTTTTAACGGAGAGAGGAGGGAATGGGGCCCTGGTGGACTCCCTTCTGAGTGCCAGGCAGTGTGCTTGGCACAGTTAAAGGTCATGGCAGATCCTTCTGAGGAAGGCTGCCGTGCTCGCTTCGGCAGCACATACACTGAAATTGGAAGACGGCTGCGTTTTCTTGATTTAGAGCTTAATGTGTCCAAATGCAAAGTAATGAGCAGCAAAAGCGAAATTGATTGGCTCAGTGCACAATGTATACATTTATTGAAATACTACACTGTAATTCCATCAATATTGCATGTATTTATCATGGCATGATACATTTAAATGTCCACTAAACTTGTAGCTTGTACTAAAGGACTGTGCTATTGCAATTAATATAAGAAAAATGGTGGGAAGGGAAAATGGTGAGGGAGGAAGAAGAGGGAGAGAGATGAATGCTTGTACCTACAAAAATTGCGGAAAACAATAAAATTTTTAAGCTTTTTTAAAGTTTGAGATGGAAATGTCTAACCAACCTGATTTGAATACAATGTGTTAAACACATGTATCAAATTACGACTTGGTGTCCCCACAAAGATGTGCAGTTGAAGTAATAAGATAAAGCAATTGAAACTACCAAAAGATCAAACAGATTAAGAAGTGACAGTTATATAAAAGAAAGATAAAGCAATTAAGGTAATTATAGAAGCTAGAACTGAGGGCAAAAGGGAGAGTTATATAAAAGGAAAAAAAATGGGACAGTTAGATAAAAGGAAGAAATGAATATAGAAAATAAGAGAGGTTTAACTGAGCCATGACTGGAGGGGAAGTAGCTGGACAAGTTGAGCCAAGGCAGGAAAGTGCAGGCTCTTAGGCGCTCAGCCTTGAATGCTGAGCCCAAGGATTGCTGGGGGAGGCCAAGAATAAGAAAGGTGGGCATCGGCCTCAGCCCTGTGCCTGCCCACAGTGCCATATGCATGTGGGCACAAGTCCCAGGCCACCCTCCGTAGATCTGACTTCATCTGATTGCTTTGAGTAGCTGTGCTGTCCAATGGACTTTGCCATTGCTTGATGACTGCTGGCATTTTTCTTGCCATGTTACACACACCTGCTTTGTGAGAACACAGCTTTTGTCTAGTGGAATTTATAGAGTAAAACCTCACTGGCTCTGACTTGTTACAGAGGAAGTGAAAGTGTTTGAATAGAGAGAAAGAACTCTTTGTCTTAAAAATATCTTCATGTTGTGTACACAGTGAGCAAGCTGTTTGTTTTCATGCATTGTGTTTTCTAAGAAACGTGAAACATTTGAGGGTGTAACAGAAAGGAGGAAGAGCCGCAGCAAGACAGGAAGTCTTTCGGAGGCAGCTGTTCTAGGCCTGGCACAGTTTTGAGATCTGGCATGGGCTGAATTCGGGCAGGCTGCTCACAGCACTTGTGGCCTGGAAGGTGGGGTAGATCTAAAACCTTCATGCTTTGGGTAGGACTTTGCCGGCTGAGTCATTGGAAAGGCTGTGATTTTTTTGGAGGGAATGTTGGTTTAGAAAGTGTTTTTGGCTGTTTGAGTGAAACATTGTCACAGATCCAGGGTTGAGTGGAGGCCACAGACAGAGGTGAATGAGAACACCAGCTCCTTCTGGCATCCCCTGTAGCAGGTGCCGTCTCCCTTCTATCTAGTTAACCTGGTCCTTCTCCACAGGGAGCAGTGGATCCCAACTCTTGTTGTCCCTCTTCTGTTCAGGGTGGAGGCAGTCTCTGTAGCCAGGGCCTGTTACCCTCTGTGGCTGCGCAATCCTGTCTTGCGGATCTTGCTTGCTCAGTTGCAGGAGTTTTATCACCACCTTCTATCATCTGCAGTGCACAGATAAAAGACCACCTGCTCCTCTCTTCTGGATGTTTACTTTCTCTGGAACGGGGCCATAAAAGGTATTTTAGCTCTCGTCTGGATTCCATAGCCAGGGCAGCCAGGGGTGTGCTATTGTGGGGTACCCTGCGGAAATCAGGTCTTCCTAGGCCTCAGGGAAGTCGGGGGACAGAGCTGATACCCCATGTGTGGACTTGCACAGGGGCCTTCCTGAGAGACTTGTTCCTGCTGTAGTTGCCCGTGTGCCTTGACGGGTGTGTCAGAGTCCCTGTCCCTGGCGCTCAGCTGGCACTGCACATCAAGGGGATGCACATTGGGTGTTCCCTTGATTTCACTTCTGATCTCTGCCTGCAGGAGGTCCTGCACATAGGAAGCGCCCACAACCGAAGTGCCATGCCCTTCACTGCCTCGCCTGCCTCCGTCACTGCCCCCAGGGTCATCACCAACCAGTACAATAACCCAGTTGGCCTCTACTCTTCAGAGAACATCTCCACCTTCAACAGTGCCTTGGAGGCGAGGACTGCACCCAGTGGGGAGGAGACCAACAGCAGACCGTAAGTAGGCTGGGGAGTTCCCTTCCAGGCCAGTCCTGGATGAGGTCTTCTAAAGCCAGGACCAGGCTCACCCAGGAAAGTGTAAGGAGGAGGAGAGAAGTTCCCATGTTTGCTGTATTCATTCCATTTTCCAGACCTGTGAAAATGGGAAACCTCCAGCTTTGTAGGCTTGTATTAAGAAATAAGTACTGTGAAGTAGCCTTAGGACACAATCAGATCGTGTGACTATTGAGAACTTCAGTGACTTTTGTCCTGATTTCTATGATGGTTGTCCTCTTCTGATGTTGCCTCATCAGCCCTTGATATCCACTTGACATTGTCCAGTCTTTCTAGCTGGGGACGATTTGAGAGAATCTCGTGTGAATTGCGTGTGTGTTCACCATTGGAACCACAATTGTACTGAAGCAGTGTTTGCTCTTCACCAGAGTGGACCAAAAATAGTAAAAAGTTGCTGGAGGCATGAATGTCATTCTGTAGGAATAGATTCTGAGTGGAGGGCTGTAGTGGTCTTACCCACGGAGGAGATGCAAGGGGAGTGGGGCCGCGGATGGGCAGGTGTTGCCCATCTGTCATGGACCATTTGCTCATGGCTGCCTTTCTCATGGATCTTCTCAGCAGAGGAGACCCACTGTCCATTGCTCATCTTTGAACATGCATCTAGACACACTGGGAAAACAGCAGCCCACAGCCAAGGTCACAGGATGCAGAGTTGAGAGAGAGGAGGCTGCCGGCAAAGGCCAGGGCAGGCAAGGGCATATGCCTCGACCTCAGTGAGTTCTGCTCCTGGACTGTAGCTGGATGCTGTACGTGGGCCTGGGATTCCTGTTTCTGAAACGCAAGTTAGAAAGTTTTTTTCTTTCCTGAAATTTCCTGACGTGTAAATGTTGATGACATTGAAATCGTGTTGGGAAACAGTGTTTCGTACTGCTCTTGGCGTCTTCAGTTTGCAGTTGATTCCTGGCACATTGAAGCTGCAAAGCAAACTGCTTCAAATGCAAATGAGAGAGGCTGAGGTTCCAAACTACTTCTGTGCTGTTTGTGGCAGAGTCTGCCATCCAGGAGCACAGGCTGTGTGTGTAGGGTCCGTCTCATTTTCCCTTTGGGCAGACAGACACGTTAGTGGGCGCTGGCAGTGTGTGGGTCTCGGTGGCCTGACCCCAGGAGGACACTGGGCTTTGAACTGTATGACTTGGGATATTGAAGACCTTGAAGGTCACTGACGCTTGGCATAGCAACCAAAGCAAAGTGATTGCTACTTTCCCCTCAAAATTCTGGTTCCTGCAAGACCCAAGCTCAAAATGATGGTGTACTTTTGGGTGACCCCATGGACACTTGGGGTGTTTGAGGAAGCGCCCCATACTGGGTCCCCAAGCTTTCTTCCACAGGCACCTTGAAGGGAAGCTTGCAGGCAGCTTAGTGAAAAGCCATGGGCCCCTTTTCTCCCTGCTTTGTGTGTGCTGGGGGAGGCTGAGAACGTGACCCCCTGTGACGGTCCCAGAGTGGAATGTTCCATGATCTGGATTTAATAACCCAGGAAATGACACATCCTTAATTGAAAGAGTTGCTATGCATTGGGAGAAATATGTGCCTGGGATGTATTTTTAGTGTGGCCTTGGCTATTTTTCCTTCCTTAATGTCGTCTTTCTTCTCTCATGCTCCCTGCCTGCTCCCCTCCCCGCTTCTGGAATGATCATGTCTAGGGACTTGGAGGCCTCTGTTCCAGGCTCTGTCAGCTTCGGTGTCTTGGTTAAAATTGTCTCAACAGAGGGGACCCAGCCTCTGCTCTGTCCTGACTCTCTGGAGGTGAATTCGGGGGCAGTGTGAACACCTGCAGCGGAAGCCAAAAGGAGCTGCCCCAACAAGCCGTGCTGCCTGTGCGTGCATGTGGAGGGGTGGGGGTGGTCTCTGTTTGCTGATCTGTTCCTAGAACATTCTTAGCAGTGAATGATTCCCCTGCAAACCCAGCAGCCACCGGGTATACCTTGCTGACACAGTCAGCATGAAGCTGAGAACTTGCTCGCCCCCGCTGTTTAGTCTGAAAGTCGCTGAGCTTCCAGAATTGGCTCACTGCATACTTTGCATCTGAGGTCATCACTCGTTCCCCTGGGCTTTGCCTGGGCTGCTTTGTGCCATCCTGTGTGTGTGGGCCTGCATCTCGGAGGTCTTCATGGAGCTACATCCCTGTCCCCAGTCATTCCAGAGCAGAGACAGTGCTGTCAACAGGAGGGCAAGCGAGGGGGCTCCCCCTGTGCCCTTCCAGCCGGGACACAGGGCTAAGGGGAGAGCCTTAGCTTGCTCCTTTTGTGTCTGATGGGTGTGTTAAGGCACATCGGCTCAGTGCAGCAGGAAGCTCACAGCTTCTCTTGGATGCTTTGTCACTGGGCTTAACGCACAGCTGGATGCCATTGCTCCTAGGCCCATCTCTGGCGCTGCCCATGGCTGTGTAGACAGAGGGGCCTGAGCGCAGTCTTTTACCAGCGGTGTGTCTGTGGGCAAGCTGAACTTCTCCGAAACTGTCTTCTGCTCTCCGAGGTGGTGTAGGCACTCGCTGCATCCCTGGTTGGTGAGAGCACGTGGGGAGCTATATTGCAGCGCACTCAGCATGGTGCCCTGCCCCAGCTTGGGGCTCAGTGAATGCCAGGTGTTACAGAGTCCACTGTCCCCTAGGGGCTGTTGCACTTCCGGGTCCTGGGGCTTCTGAGATAAGTAAATGTTACAGAGAAGATCTTGTGAGGATTTGGGGTCCTGACCAGCCGGTACAGTACATCAGCTTCCTGGTGGAGGACCTGGTGGAGCTCTCCTGACACTGTACTTCCACCTTAGTCCCGAGGTAGCAGCTCTTCCACATGGTGTCTTCACATACTTTCCTACTCATGAGGCAGACTGCTGAGCTGGTGTGGTGCAAAGAAAGGCATGCATTGTCCTCGGTAAGATGATGTCAGAGGGATGACGTTCGCCCTGAATCACTTGGCACTAGGTCAGAAGACCTCTTTTGTCAGGTGGCCGCCTGTCCCTGCGGTCAGCCTTGCCCACAGCCCACAGCCGGATGGCCTGGGATCAGGTGATTTATTCTTTTTCTCTGGGGACCTGTAATTACTTAACGGGTTTCTTCTTACAGGACCAACATGTAGACTGCTGAGAAATGAAACTTAGGGAGGGTCCAGGCTGGCTCCTCTTCCAATGTTGATCACACCGGCTGATCCGGGATGCATTGTCTTGTGTGCCAGGGCATCTCAAACCCAGACTGTCAGTCTTGGGATGTGAGGTGTGAAGGAGATTTTTCTGAGTCATCCTACTTCCCTTGTCCCCACTTCCACATAAAGCAAAAACTAAAATCTGTCATTTTCAGTTAGCACTTCCACCATTGCTTTGTTTTGTTTTTTAATGAGGTGGGGGTGCAGAGAAAGACATCATCCAGTTACTGGTTTATTCCTCAGATGTCTGCAGTGGGCAGGGCTGTGCCGGGGTAAAGCCAGAGCCTAGAGAATTCAATCAGTATTCCATGTGGGTGAAACAGACCCAGTTGCGTCAGCCGCCACCTGCTGCCTCCCAGGGTGAGCGTTAGCAGGAAGCTGGAATGGGGAGTGGAGGTACAACCTGAACCCAGATATTTTTGTGTAGTGTCTTAACCACAGATACCTCTCCCAGTTTCTACCATTTGAGGAAAAGGTTTCTTAAGTTGAACTGGGGTTTTTATCTTCAGATAATTACAGTTCAGACATAGTTGTAGAAGATCAAGATCTCTTACACCCGTTCTCCGTCTCCCTCAGAGGTGACATTGTGAAAACCAGAGTGGTGTTTAAACCAGGGTTTTGGCATCAGTACAGTTAGGACCTAGACCATTTGCAGCCCGAGATCTCTTGTGGTCTCTTGGAGAGCCACACTCTCTCCTCTCCGTCCCATGGCCTCCTGAACCCCTGGCAACCCACCAGTCTGTGCTCCATTTCCACAGTTTTGTTATTTCAGAAATGCTTTATTAGTGGAATCATAAAGTATGTGGCTTTCTGGAATTGGCTTTTTATTTTTTAAACTCAGCATAATTCACTGGAGATTTATTGTTTGGGTTTTTTAAATCAAGAGTCTGTCCTCCCTCCTGCCTTGTTCCAAGGGCTTGTTTTTCCTATTTTCTTTCCTTTTTTCTCTTGTCCTTAAGGTTAGTTTATTTGAATGTGTTTCAGAGAACCAAAGTCACACTGAGAGCGAGCCTCCATCTGCTGATTTACTCCCCAGCTGGCTGCAGGGGCCAGCGCCGAGCCAGGCTGAACCCACGACCCTTTTCTCTGTCTCCCACATGGGTGTTAGGGTCACAAGCACTTGGACCGTCTTCTGCTGTTTTCCCAGGCCATTAGCAGGAAGGCAAATGGGAAGTGGAGTAGCTGGGACTTGAACCAGTTGTCCATATGGGATGCCAGCATTGCTGGAGGCGACTATACCCACTATACCACAATGCTGGCCCAGGTTGTGGTTTTTGTTGTTGTTTTGTTTTGTTTTTTAGATTGTGACTGAAAACATGCAATCTAAAATTCACCATCTTAACTGGTTTTGATTGTATTGCACAGTATATACATGGGTGGGCAACGCATGTCTACAACTGCCAAATCTTATAAAACTGAAACTCTGTAACGGCCCCCCTCTCCCAAGCCCCTGGTTCCCCACCCTGTATCACATATTCAATTAGTTTAGAGGGGTGCTGATGCTGTGGCATTATGGTACCACCTGTGATGCCAGCACGCCAAACAGGTGTCAGTTTGAGTCCTGGGTGCGTCACTTCTCTTCCAGCCCCCTGCTAATGCACCTGGGAAAGTGAACAATGGCCCAAATATTTGTGCCCCAATACCCATGAGGTACACAGAATACATCTTTTTCTTTGCCTCTTTCTCGACGTAATTCTCTCTTTCAGATAAACAAATACTTTTAAAAAGTTCTGTCTTGAGTTTTTGAGGAACATTGTATCATTTCCTACAACAGCTTCAACATTTTATATTCCTGACAGTGATGCA